TACCATGTCAATATATATATATATATATATATATATATATATATATATATAAAAGTACTTTGGCCTCCCATCTCAAAACCAATTGGCAATGAGTGAGGAGGCTTGTGAAATTTATATACAGAATCACTTTTTTTTACGGTGGCAATATGAGACAGATAATACACTCTAACATTTATTGTATGTTATGACTATCTATATATGTTTTTAAATACTGTGAACTAGTCTTAACTTGTGAGGTCGTAGTATCAAAATCCAGACGCGAAATGAAAACCGTAGCTATACTTATAAAAATACAGAAAAATGACATAGGACTTCTCTTTCTTTTCTTCTTCTTTTGCATTATAGATATCGGCAGTAGTACAATCCAGCACAGCTGAAGTTAATTTTTTCATGAAAGTCAGAGTTTGAAGGAATAACAACTGCAAAAAAACGAACATCATTTATATATTTAAAACGTTTGTGAAACTGTAGAGGACACCCGAAGTAAACAGAATGAATCTTCCCGAGATAAAACTCACTCATTTAGTCAAATTAGTTCAAACTCTATACAACTGTGATCAAATTGCTTATTGTTATTTTACATTATGAAGCTCTTAATCATGTATCCATTAGATATAATACCGTAGGACACTTTAATTATATTAACAACTTGTCAATAAACCACATCTAAAGTTGCAATTGAGTAGGGAAAGGAACCAGATCGATTATAGGTGTCGCAGGGGCTCAAGTGTATAACCAAATTCTTACGAGTTTTTTTGGTTGCTATTCACCGTATTTAGTGTTTAGTATAGAAGCATGGCTAATGTTTTTGACACGTATGCTTACAATGTGCGTCGGAGCTCCGCTAGCTCTTTAAAGATCATACTTTGATACTTGGTATTTGATTTATGGCCTAAAATTCTCTAAACCTTTTCGTTAGGGCAAAAATTCTAATCTAATTATAAGTCAATTATTTTAACTTTAACTAGCTAGATTTTATATGGGTCGATACAGCTGAATTAATTTAGGATATGTTCAAAGTATTGTATCTTTAAGACTTCAACTACAATACGGGTTGTATTCCCAAACCAAATACAATATGTAAACGATTACTATATATTATCACCCTTATAAAATCCTAGTTCCGTTGTCCCGACTGAATAGTGTTTAGCGTCCAAAGAAACTTGACTACCGGTCGACGCTCCCCCATCAGACCAACATTATTACCTGTACATCATGGCGGAGATTACAGATTTGCCAAAAACCATCTTACAAAAAATATTCTCGTTGATGAGAGTGGAAGAAGCAATCAAAGCAAGCATGACTTGCAAAACACTGTCGGGTGCACTAACCCGATCCGATTTGGTATTCAATTTAGACGATCACCTCAACGTTGATCATCTAACGGCGTTATGTTCTTCGCGCGATTTACAACAACACAGCATGGGAATATTTTACGAGGCAGGAAAAAAGTACCGACGGTTATTGGACTACGCCGACCGTACAATGGAAAGGTACCATAACGATAAGATCCCGATTCAGTCTTTCAAGTTGCGATGGTTTGGATTCCAGTTTCGTGAGGAATGGATCGAAACCGCTGTTCAAAACGGCGCCGAAACACTCGATCTTTGCTGCACGTGCTCTTTGCCGACATCCGTTTTGGAGTCTGAGAACCTTCTAGAATTAATTGGTACGAGATTTTATTTGCCGGAACAGGAGATTCGTTGTCGTCGGCTCAAACGACTACGTTTGGAAGATGTGTTGGTAAACGTGTCGACATTTGGAAAGCTAATGTCTAGTTGCAAGGAGATGGAGAGATTGGAGATATTGAGTTGTAAGTTCGCGATGGAGGGTATTTTTCATTACTTCAAAGTTTTCTTATATCCGTGTCAGAACCTCGAGTACTTACACTTGTCCGATGTTGACATTGGAAACACTTCTTACTTCGAATACTTGGATGATAAATGCCCAAACCTTAAGAAATTAATCCTTTGCAATCCCAAGGCGGCGGCGCCGTCGACGAGAATTACGATCTCAAGCTCTTCACTGGAAGCATTACAACTGAAATTGAAAGATGGACACGAGGAGGTGTGGGTATATTGTCCTCAGATGAAACAGTTCGGGTACCATGGGAATCATGCATCCCGAATACATGTTGTGGCTGCCTCAAGTGACTGCAGTTCTGAGATTGCGGAATCTCAAAATTCGGATGGCTTCTATTCCTACAAATGGAAGGGCTTGATTTCCAATTTACCCTCCTGTAAATTCTATTTATGACGACAACATCTTATGGAGTACTATGGTTCAAATAAAGTGTCGTAGATTCAGTTAATGATGAGGTGACAAATGATAGGCTTCTACTGGAGGCAATCTTTAGCTTCAAAATTAGACAGGATTTTTAGTTTTTGGTGCTAGTTTTACAGAGTTTAAAATCTTGAATTGGGGCGGACGAATGTTGGGTAGTTTCCTCTTATATATATATCATGCCCCACCCCAAGATTACTAGGACTTCTCTTTCTTGCTTTTTTTTTCTTTCCTGTTGCATTACATATATCGAGTGAGATCAAATTCATTTCTTTCATATGGCGCACGATCCACTGTCATTTTTCTCTAGGAAGAAAAAAGAAAACATTTTCAAGTTCATCATCATCACTTACACATTCTTCTTGCAGTCTAGAATAGTACAATTAGAATAGTACAATTCAACAATGTCGATGGTCAAAAATCAAAATAGAACCAGATTTGAAAGTCTAACCGAGATGTGGTTGGTAGAGTTGGGTATTTGACCCAGAACATATCCAGCCCAAATAAACGTAATCTACCCGGATGGACCAAATATATGTCCGAGATAACTCATTTCTTCAAACCGTAACAGCCAGTGATCAAAGTCTTCTCGTTATGCGTATACGACGAGAGCCTTCGCAACAGGAAGCTCTAAATTATGTACTTTTTCGTCCTAAAATAATTGTTGGAGTTAGAATTTTCATTTTTGAAAATTTAAATTGGACCATAATTTTGAGACAGAGAAAATGCCAGAACGCAATAATGCCATTTCACACCCCCTGCCATTGATGACACCCCCTACTGATAACGTAATTAGAGTTTACTTTGATCGGGCTGTTTTGGCTTTCTAGGCAATGTTCTTGCATTGGAGTATTTTCTATGGTGATTTTCTTCATGGCCTCTCCTTTAATCACCCAAATGTGCTAGACGTAGTCTGATTTAGTGAAATCTCTGGCCTTTCGTGAAGCCCTCATCCTATGCAGAGTCTTTATCTCCAAAAACTTGTTACTCAGTAGGCACTGGACCTATTCCCAGTGTCTCCTGTTTCCTTCAAAAACAAATAATAGGTGCCCAAGGTGTTCAACTACAATCAACCCCAAATTTTCTCCACAGCTACGGACCAAGAGTCCTTGTTGGCCGTAAATTTCTTTTTCTTTTTTTTTTTTAATAGTGTATGTATAGCTAATAGTTTTGAGAAACACAACCTATCTATTATATGATGACTTCAACTACAATACGATTTACCATAAAATTCCCAAACCAAATACACCAAAAAGGAAGATAATAATTGCGGTGCTCACCCTTGCAAAACCTAGTCCCTTAGTCCTCAAATTTGGTCGATTTGGGATTTTATTCTTATATATAAATACATATCATATGCTGTACCACAAGAAGAGTGATTAAATTAGCAATTAATTTCTTGCCGCTGCCCCGGCTTTACAACTTGTTGGTCATGGCGGAGATTACAGATTTGCATGAACCCATCCTACAACACATATTGTCTTTCATGAGAATCGACGAAGCAATCAAAGCAAGCGTGTCTTGTAAAACGTTGTGGACCGCGTGTACTCACCCAACCAAATCTGGTATTCAATTTAGACGATCACCTCGACATTGGTCGTTTATGGAACTTAAGTTTTTTTTACAGACCAGTTTTCCGCTAGCGAAAAAGATTTGGTGAAGCGGGATTAAAATTCCGACAGTTATGGGCCCACATCGACCGCACGATGGAAAGGTACGGTAGCGAGAAGATCCCCGATTCAGTCTCTTAAGTTGAAATGGTTTGGTTTTCCAGTTTCGGGAAGAATGGATCCAATTTGCTGTGGAAAACCGTGCCAAAACACTTAACCTGTTTTGTACTCGCCCTTTGCCCAAATCCGTATGGGAGTCCGAGAACCTTCTAGAATTCAGGGGCAGGAGAATTTATTTCCCGGATCAGGAGATGGGTTGTCATCGGCTCAAACGATTACGTTTGGTAGATGTACGTATAAATGATTCTGGCTTTGGTATCTTATGTCCAGCTGCAAGGCGATTGAGAAATTGGAGATATGGAATTGTAAGTTTGCAATCCAATTCCAAGGTGTATCTAAAAAATATCCACTTGTTTTCTTACATCCATGTTGGAACCTCGAGTATTTACACTTGTTTGATGTTGACATAGGAAACGCTTTCTTTGAGGAATTGGATCATAAATGTCCAAACCTTAAGAATCCTAATAAGGCTTTGTCCACAATCGAGATCTCAAGCTCTTCATTGGAAACATTGCAACTGAACTTGAAACATGAGGTGGTGGTCTGGGTTCGTGCTCCTAAACTAAAGCAATTTGTGTTTGATGGGAATGATGTACCCCAAGTACATCTTAAGGATGGTGCCTCAAGGCAATGGAGCTGTGAAATTATTTTTACCCATACTCAGACTCATAAGTTGGATGGCTCCTTCTTCTATTTCAAATTTAAGTCCATGTGTTCGACAACATCTTATACATGTTTCAGAGTGAGACCACAGATGAAGAAAGATGCTTGAAGATTTTATCTGTTGAGGGGATTAGGAAAGGTGCATTCTTTAGCTTCGACATTGGATGGGGGTTCTTTTTTTTGAGTGTTGTCAAAGTCTTCAGCGCATTTAACAGTAAAGTTTTTGTTTTGCTACTTGTTATTAGTTTTACAAATTTAAGATGTTGAATTGGGATGCACGATTTTCGTGTATATTCCTCTTCTTCTTCTTTTTCTATGCGATCCCAATAATCACAGCTGAATCTTATTAGTAGTGTTAACAGCAGAGGTTACTGAACCCAAACTAAACAGAACGAATCTGTCCAAAATACCCACTAATTTCATCGAACGCCATACAACAAAGGTCAGACTCATTTCTAACCTGAACTTGTGACAATGAAATGTTCATTTATCACGATCTACATTTATCCAGGTAGGGAAGGGAAAAAAAAAAAGAAAAAAAGGTCATCATCACTTGCAGTCTAGAAGTCTAGAACAGTACACATACGACACAATGAACACAGTTTAGCACCTATAATCGGGCCTTAAGCAGTGTCACAATGGAGTTAAAAAGCATCTAGATTCTCATAAACGCAAAACTCCAGTTCATTTGCTCTGCCAAATTCAAGTCAAAAGAACAAACATCACAGTTTAATTTGCATTCCTGACAAATCAGCAGTTTAATTTAACACACGGACCGAAGTCAGTGAACCGAATCATACGAACTAAATAAGACTGGAAAATGCTGACTTGTTAAATCATCTCCGGCAGCGAGTGATGGCGGAGCAGCCCCTGGTATAAGGGTGGACAGGGCCACTAGCAAAATAACAGTTGTGGGTGTAGTAGGACCTACCGGAGCGAGGTGGGCAGGGGATTCTGTTGGCGGAAAGCGCCGCGTACGAAATGTAGTATTTGGCTCTGTTCCAGAGTAGGGATCTCCGGCTAGATGACGTCACGCCGTCTTCTAGTTCCTCGTCGTAGAGGCCGGACATCGACATTGGCCATTCCAACGATTCTTCGGACTGAGCTGAAACTAATTGAGGACTCGAGTTGCAAGCGAGGAAGAAAATCACGAGGAAAAACAGGGGAACCCAATATTTGCGGAGTTCCATGGCAAGGTTCGGAGAAAAATGTTGGTGGAAATGTGGGATCTTTCAGCTTTTGATTGGAAGGCTTTAATGCAATTTGAGTTGCTGAAAAGTGTAAAATGAAGGGAAGGGATGGACCTGATTGTGGGGGTGGGGGGGACAAGGGGGCTCACATGAAGGCTGGTGCAGTGATAATGGCCTTAGCCTGTGAGTGAGATAGGTCATAGGAAGAGTCCCCCCAGGACTGGAGGGAGACTACTGTTTGGTCATAGGGTACAGTTTGGGGTTGGTTTACAGCTGTGAACTCATCAATGTTTGCCTCTTTTGGACATGTCAGTTTATCCATCAATATCTTCATTGCAGGGTGTTGCTAGTGCTACATTATGACTGGTTTCTCATCACCTACAATTTTTTGGCTTCAAATTGCAAGTAACATATATAGGGGTGTGTAAGGGAAATGGATGTGGGAGTTCTATATCAATGAACTGTTGGGTTACTGCTTCGGTCCCTGTTAAAACGCTTGGATTGATTTGCTTAAAATATCCAAACCCAACATTGCCCGACGCAATATTAAATCAGAAATGAATTTGTGCATAAAAAAATTGCAGTTAAGCTCGTCCGGGGGCTTATGATGGGGTTTAATGATCTACCTTTGACATTGAGCCTATGGATGGAACACGCTGATGTTATGTATTTTCAATAACGGCGAATGTTAAAACTTAATGTTAGGTAGCCTCCTAAACTGTGTAAGAAAAACATTGCACTTTTTTTATATCTTCAATATAAAAAAAATATTCTTTTCATTCCAAAATAAGTGTCGTTTCAGCAAAATGAAGAAATTCCAAAAGTGTCATTTTCGGATTCTAATGTATTTTTTGTCAAAAATTTCCAAACATACCCTCAAAAAAAAAAAATACTATTAGTGAGCATTTATTTTAATAGAATTGGTTGAGGATATTCTAATAATTTAGCTGCTCTATTTAAATGTTTCTTAAACTATGTACAAATTTTAGAACGACACTTATTTTACAATGGCAGGATACGTTGTACGCCAAAAAGCGATCCAAACATACATAACTAGAGCCTATTGTGACTTTTTGTGTAGAGTACTTGCGAAATCATCTGGGCTTCTGTGATATGGACAAGGGAGCCAATGTGATTATGTCTATCCTAGTTGGTGCATCCCAATCTCTCCTAGATGCCAAAATGCCAAAAGTGGAAGACCATTGTGGCAAAGACCATTGTGGGCTCGATGGAAGTAGAAGGTTGCGTGCAGGAAGGACATTAATGTGGGCTTGAGACTCGGTTCAGTTGGACAAAGCAACAGTTGTTTCTTTTTTCTTTTCTTTTTGTCCTGTTGTTTTTTGTTCTTGTGAAGAAATGGTTTCTGCTATATGAATTAAAGTAGTTGTGGTGGAGTGTCTTACACCTTTAACCATAGTTCAAATATTTGAAACTCGCCATGGGCATATAGACACTTTAAATCTTTTGGCTAACTCTCTCACTCATCGAAATGTTTACCAAGAACGAAGAGAATTAGTCACTATTATCAACAGTAGACATCCTACAATATAAAGAAAAAAAGGTTTTTGATATAATCATAACCATTTTCGTTATCCACGTTATGTTTTTTTCAAAAGGTTTCTTACCATCTTTGTTATTGAAATTTAAAAGTTACATGTGCATTACAAACTATTTAGTGAGCTTGTTAAAACCTGAATGCATTCTAGATGTTTATTTACTAATTACTCCCTCTGTCCTATAATTATTGTCCAATTTTATTAAAATGAAATATTTTATTTTTGGTCAAACTTAACTATATTTTACCTTAAACAACCGGATATACTCCTACATAAGTAATTGTTTAACCACTAAGATTTTATGGATAATATTTTTTACTAAGGATAAATCTGTAACTTGATCCATAAAAAGTCAAATTGGACAATAATTTTGGGACAAAATTTTTTGGACAAATTGGACAATAATTATGAAACAGAGGGAATACTAATAATCATCTTTCATTCAAATTAAGGCGCAACTCGTATGACAAATCAAATTTTGTAATTGACACCGTAAATAAATTTACAACCTAACTCAAAGAATGGTGTTGTATTGGTTCTGTAAAATTAATATTTCCTGTTACCGTGATTGCCCGATTTATTAAAGAGTGCAGTATATCAAACCAGAAAAATCTTATTAGAAAAAGAAAATGCTTAGGAAACACAATCGGACTGACTGAATAGGCATTCATTTTGGGGTCAAACCAATTCAGTGGACTGCCTAAAAAGATCCAGTTAAACTGGGGAGTGGGGGGACTTTCCGTTCCCGGCAGTCAAATCGACAAATACGCGGAATTCCCATTGGTGACGGTGGTCGGCAAAACCTTCGAAGCTAAGCTTTCCCACTTAATACTAATCCAAATCCACCTTGCGGAGCGTGCCCGGTTTTGCAGCCATCATCATCAGACCCGCCACAACAGTTCACTGATGAAGAATACAAATGATGATGCAAGCACCCAACAACGTAGGTTACTCGCAAAAAAAAGAAAAAAAAAAGTTTTTCAAAATAAGCCCAATAATTCCGATCAATAATCCATAGTTTTTCTTTTAAAAACCGGTCTTTATCATAAATTTCATCTATCTCAAAATTATTGTTCACTTTAAATTTTAATTTTTTATATAAATTGAGAAATAAAAATAAAAATCCAAACTAAACAATGATTTTGGAATGCAGACAATACGGTATTATTTGTGCGGAACATCTAGCGACGGATGGAACAATTTTGTGCGTTAGTTCTTGAAAGTGCTTCAAATCCAAATTACATGTTTGGTTGGCCAACTTGATTTACCCAACTTCAAGGGAAAGACGTTGCTAGTAGAATCAAATCCAAACCTCGAGGATGAGCCTGTTATATTTACTAGCTAGGCTATCAATAGATTCGTCTCCAAACCCTATTCCCTTAATTCACTTCACTTCCAAGGTAATCGTATTCGGATCACACAATACGCACACAGACACAGTGCACAGTGTCTACCAAAAAAAAAAAGAACCCACAAAAAATAAAAAAATATCGATTTAATTTGAGAGTTGTTATTTTCCTGACGGATGTCATGTGATTCTAGGCTTGTGGGGGTGTCTTTAATAGATTTTTTTTTAATATTTATTTAATTTGTCAACCAACAAAGTAGTTGAAATTTTTGGTCATCTTTTGAAAAAGGTTTGCCCTCACCAGCAAGATCTCGCCGGATAAAAGTTTTGGTGTTCATCATCAGATTGGATATAATAGTATATTTGAATACAAGATTGGATGCTTGGAATTTGTGCAGGTTCATGCACCTCGACGCCACTCCATGCTTCCTTTTCTTGTAACCAAATGAAATGTATACGTACAATATTAACAATAGTGGTGAAATTAATAAATGAATTACAAAAAGAAATCAATATGATAAGAAGAAATTTATTTATTTTTTTTTAAGTTGTATTCTAAAGGGAAACAATAATCGTGCTTCTCTGTGCAAAGTTCATGTGATCTATCTGCAACAATAATTTAGGACGCTACTAAATCAATTCTTCCCAGAAAATCAATAATTCAATGGCGTTGTGGTTTCCTGGTAAGGAAACTTGTCAGGAGATAAAATAAAGTAACCACTATTCATGTACAAAAATACATCACTTTGATTTTGTTAGTATCAAAAAAATTAATACTCTCCAAGATAACTTATTTTAATGCTAGCTCCACCCAATATCTAGAACTAGCTATATATATTCTGCTACGTACAATCCCAAAATTCTACCATCAAAAAACCAGTTAGTAGTATTTATTTGTACGAGCAAAAAAAAAAAAAAAATCTACCTTCAACTTATTGTTGTATAGCTTTCACACTTATTTCCTCTGACCAAAGTCATTCATCCCCATTCCTCCTAGTTCTTTCCTTCTGAGTTCTGATCCAATGGAAACAGTACTGATGGACCTGGGAAAATTTTCTCAATCTTCAGGGACTAATTATTTGTATATTAACAATTCTGCAGGGTCACCAGAACAACAACAAGATCAGTTCTCTGATGACAGCGCCGCCGCCGCCACCCCAACTCCTCCTCATCTCGATTTTGTTTCTTCTTCTTCCGTCTCATTTTCCGGCAACCCTATTCATCAAGAATCCAAAACCGGGTCCGGCCCATTTTTGCCTTCACTAATGAACACGACACCGATGTTGTCATTTGAGAACTCGTTACAGAAAGGGGCTTCCATGGAAGCCATGCGAGAAATGATATTCCGGATAGCAGTGATGCAGCCGGTTCACATCGACCCGGAATCCGTAAAGCCGCCCAAGAGGAAGAACGTGAAGATTTCCAAGGACCCGCAGAGCGTGGCGGCCCGGCACCGGAGGGAACGGATCAGTGAGAAGATACGGATTTTGCAGAGACTGGTTCCGGGTGGGACCAAGATGGATACGGCTTCCATGCTGGATGAGGCTGCGCATTACTTGAAGTTTTTGAAAAAGCAAGTGAAATCACTTGAACAAACAACTTCTTCAGCCAGTTTGAATGAAATGAATTTTACTAATATGGTGAAATCATGCCAGCATCAGCATGCTGCTCATCACATGGTGGGCTCGATGCAGATGCTTAGTTTTGGAAGTTGATATGATTTTTCCTCTTTAATTAGTCTTGAGCCACTTTGAGATCAAGGTGCTTTATTTGTACATCTCATCGATCTTTCCTCAAAAGGAAAATGGTCTCTCTCTCTCTCTCTCTTTTTTTTTTTTTGGTTTACTTTATAGGGTTTGTAAAGGAAATTGCGAATTATGTATAACGCTACTTGTCTTAATATATCCACTGAATAACAAATAATGTAATCAATCCCTGATTCCCTTCTATTCTAATCATCGACATAAGTACATATAATGGCTTTCGGTTTCATTTCGTCCACAATAAACGACCATGATTTTCACTATAATATACGATTAACTAGACAAGAGATTTTCTGTTACTTTCCTTTGCTAAATATGATATGAAAATGACTGATTTGATGATCATTTGGAGAGTGAAAGGGTACTTGGAACATATATATAAATACCTATATTTCTGTCGATTAATTAATGTACCCGCATAAGATAGATCCAATCTATATATAGCAGTATATACTCTTTGTGTTTGTTGGGATTTATGAGTAGTTGAGATAAATATCACAAGCAATCTGAGATTGAAGGGGTTAGGTATAGCAATCAACTTGTCGGTTGTCACCAAACGGTGAGATGGGCGACCGACATGTTCTCATTTCCGACGACCTCATCTAATACCCCCAAATGTGTACAGTGTTTAATAGTATCTTTTCCATTTAATTAATACAGCTCTCTGCTTGCTAGGTTCTGGATGGAATTAATTAACCACTGTTGTTTTAACCATATGCTTTTCTTCCTTCTCAAAGTGAAAACAATTTCATGAGTGCATATACATAAGCAGACACACCGACACATTTTCGCTATGTTGAACTTTCTTGAAATAGGAAATGGCGGGATTTTTTGATTTATGACTTACGAGGTTAACGATTAAATATAAGGTTGTCTAGTCAATGTAAAAGTTAGATCATCATGAATGCATGCAACCTCAACAAACAATCCTTTACTGATCAACATCGTCGACTCGAATGGTAAATTGGTAATTTTGAGGTTAATTTTTATATATATAATGGAGTGCAACATATCAAATTATTATGGAGATGTAGAAAAAAGAGATACTCCCTCCGTCCCATAATTATTGTCCAGTTTTACTAAAATGAAAGATTTTATTTTTGGTCAAACATAACTATATTTTACTTTAAACAACCGGATATACCCCTACATAAGTAATTGTTTAACCACTAAGATTTTATGGATAATGTTTTTTACTAAGGACAAATGTGTAACTTGATCCATAAAAAGTCAAATTGGACAATAATTTTGGGACAAAATTTTTTGGACAAAGTGGACAATAATTATGGGACGGAGGGAGTAGTAAATATGATATTCTGAATTATGAGGCTTAATTCTATTTCCGGGGGGATAGGCTAAGAAATGTCAGCAAGAAAGAAACCATAATGTTTATTGCTAACTAGTGAACTAAACTTCCATTACATCATGGACTCGTGGTGTAACTCATAGGATCAAATGGAAACGTTTTTCGGATAGGAAACTTCCATTTCATCTTGGTGGAATGCATGAGTTAATTAAACAACAACATTTTCAAGAATGCAATTATACAAATGTCCCATTATATTATGGTGTAGCCCTCCATGACATAAAGGAGGATCTTCAAACTGCATGTCATGTTTCAATTCCCATTGAGACTCAAGAAGGTTTTGTATCAGCTGATAGGCTCACTCAAACAAAGAAGTTTCATTGGGTTGTATTCGTTTCTTTGTGTATGGGCTTCCCACCTTCTTGCTAATCTGTTAGACAGGCCTGAATCCTCTTGGACTGGATGAAGATGAACAGCCTTGTTCTGCCCTATCTTCCTAATCCTGGTGCAGACACGAAATGTCAAAAATCAACCAAGCTGGTCTAAACTATTTTTTTTTTTTGGTTGATATCACAACTCACGAGCAATAATTTTTTCATTTTTTTATTAAAAAAAATTTCACTCCATTAAACCCCACCTAAATAATCATCATACTGTATGTTAATGAATTCAAATAAAAAAGTTCACAACATTCATAAAGTTGAAGCTATTCCAATGTAGTACATGTAAGCACGGATGAATAATTTCATACATGTGTACATTCTTATAGAGAAGTATTTGGTTAGATTGTGAAATTATTGTGTACAATTTCAAGGTTTAGAGGTCCAAAGTTCAAATTTTAGATTGTACACCAAATTTTTTGTATATAGCATTGGCTGTACTATCTCACTTTGTATCAAATGTACTTGTTATTAATAAATAATACTCCATATGTTCTAAAAAATAAATTACATCGAATTTTGAGATTTGTAGTGGAATATTTTTTCTGGAGCATAGGAATTGTTTTTAAAAAAAACCCTAAATAAGAACTAGAAGTTTCCATCTTTTTTTTAATCTTTTTTAATTCCAACGTGATTGAAAAGAATAAAGTTACCCCTTTTTTTTTTTGAAAATGAATAAAGTTACCCCTAATCATTCACATTAGGTACAATTTCACGTGGAATCATACTAAAAGGGGCACATTGCACAGGTGGGAAAGCAATCCAATGAGGATATGCATAGACAACATTATCAGTGTGACAAATTAATGTTAATACTTAATAACCATGGATCATACTTTGAGACAAAAGAAAATCTAACTTTGTTTAACATTTTAAATATATGAATTTTACATATTGGTGATGCTTTTTATTCTTTGCATAAAATGATGATGAAAAACCAACTCAGACACGCACTATGCACAAATGCACAAATGCAATCTTTCAAAGTACTCTGAGATGTACATATTTGGATTTACTTAATGATAGAAAAGCTTTCACGAATTTTATTCATTAATAATTCCTTGTGTCCAAATTAAATTATGTGCTTCTCATACGTATTATACATATACTTGTTCCGAAGGAAAAGAATATGTGCTTAATTCCTCTAATTCCTTCTTTTTCCTCAACCACAGGGCTAGCTTTAACAACGAGCTTGTTATATAATGGTGTGACATGATTTGTTCGACAAACTCCAACATTTCTTCCTCTACTCTCTTTTTGTTTTTACTATTTTTTAATTTATTTTTTTTTAGTTTTGAATTTAGATCATGGCTTCATCTGATCAAGCTAGCAAAAAATATTTCGAGCTGAAACCTGACGTAGCTAGCTTTCAAGACCTCATTCATTACCTATTTTCCGGCGACATTGAGAGCAAGCGATTCATTGAAAGCCTCAGAGCCAAGGAGACAAGTTTAAAGCGTAGAGGGTTCATTTTTCTATCTGTTTTGGTGCAAAGGGCGCTTCAAACTGTGGCAATTCCTTTGTCCACAATTGGTTCAGTCTTCGAGTTTTGGCTAAACCTTCTTGACTGCAATGGAAATTTTTTCCTTTTCTTACTGAATATCGTTCGAGGTTGGTCCGATTAGTTGATCTCCATTTATGATTACTGTGATTCAATTATATATATGCAGTACGTCCATTTTCCGCTTATATGAGGGTGAGAAATAATAATATGATATTCATGTTGTAGATGTAGGAAAAGTGAAGATGCCAGCCAAAGAATCAACCAAATATTTGTCTTATCTTGGGCATTTGGATCTGAGATTTGAGTTGGACAAGGGCATTAAGCCAGGTGACAAGAGATATTTTGCAGGGCTATCCGTAATGGCCTCTAAACTAGCTTATGAAAATAATGCCTTCTGCAAAGCTGTGGTTGAAGATCAATGGAAGGTACGGACTCCATATGTCCCAAAATTATTGTCCAATTTGAATTTTTGTTTTTAGTTCAATTTGTAATAAAAACGAAAATTCAAACTGGACAATAATTTCGAGACCGAAGGAGTATCATTTTTCACTTTCAGGATCAATTATGTCATGATTGATAACTAAAATATTTCAGATTTAAATAAACTAATCATTTAGACTACTGTTCCATCCGTTCCGAAAAATAGTTCAATTTGTGGATTTTGACGGTACAACCAGCATTTAACATTCAAGTTCTTAATTAATGCGGGATTTTTATGCAGATGGAGTTCTTGGGGACATATGACTTCTGGAATGGTAAGGAATCACGGCGTAAATTACTTATACGTTTGCTGATCATTATCTTTTGGGTTATACATGGATTTGGACAAACAAAAGTTTGTGCTTAGATAATTGCCCAGGTCAAAATCAGTACGTGATTTAGAAGGTTTTGTTTTTCCAAAAAAAATAAAAAAAGAAGCGTAGACGGTTATACATTTCATTGTCAATGTTGGTTGCAGAGTATCAAGAGAGGAACTCGACACAAGGGCTAATCTTCCATGATAAATCTGCTAATCCAGATATGGTCATTGTGGCCTTCAGAGGAACGGAACTATTTAATTCAGATGATTGGTGTACTGACTTTGATCTATCTTGGACCAAATTCAAGACCATGGGATATGTTCACAGTGGTTTCATGAAAGCTCTAGGATTACAGAAAGATCAAAGTTGGCCTGAAAATGTCGACGAAAAACACCAGCTAAACCTAGCGTATTACAGCATCAGAGAGAAGCTCAGGAAAATATTTCAGCAAAATTCTCAGACCAGATTCATTCTTACTGGTCACAGCTTAGGAGGAGCACTTGCAGTTCTGTTTCCTGCAATTCTAGCATTGCATGATGAAACTTCCATATTGGAAAGGCTTGAAGCAATTTACACATTTGGTCAACCAAGAGTTGGAGATGAGATCTTTGGGAACTTTGTTAATGCACAATTGAAACAGTATGGTGTGAAATACTATAGATTTGTTTACAACTATGACATTGTCTGCAGGCTACCTTATGATAGCACCACATTGATGTTTAAGCATTTTGGAACTTGCATCTACTACAACAGCTTATACCAAGGAAAGGTAATGAATTTGTTATAACATTGTCAAACTCATTCCTATTAGTCCTCTGTCTCAAGATTTTGTTCTTCTTGTACTAAAAGTGAAAATTCAAATTGGACAATCGTCTGGAGATAGAGGGAGTTACTAGTCTCCTCGCCCATTATTATTTTTAGGACGAATAACTAAATGAGTGATTAGGATTTTTTTTTTTTTGTTTTTGTTGCAGATTGTTCCAAGAGAACCACACAAAAACTACTTCTCTTTTAGGGCAATCATAACTAGGACAGCTGATTGCCTTTGGGAATTCCTGAGAGGTTTTCTTCTGCCTCGACTATATGGACCGGAATATAGAGAAGGCTTGCTTTTGCTAGGGTTAAGATTGATTGGTGTATTGTTGATGCCTGGTTTACCAGCACACAGCATCCATGAATACATAAACGCAATCAGGTTGGGGACTGCTGACTTATTTTGCTAAAGATTTCATGCTTTGTAACTCGGCTAGATTCGAGTGTGTGGCTTTTCACTTAAAATTCTAGTGCTCCTATGACTAGACAGTTGGTTTCTCACAATTTTGAATGATCACATTGCTGGTTCTTTGGCTGTGTAAATACTGTAGATGTGATTGCATGATTAGATGGCTGTACTGATCAATTAAGGAATGATTAATGTTCATAGACATCGCAACTATGCATTTGACATGCTTAGAGAGACTAGTTCCTTTAAAGTAAACAATACCCTTTATCTCAATTTTAAATACAAGCAATAATGCAATGAAAAATAACAATGCATGGATCGTGATTCTTATATGGTGGTGAATCTCTAAATTGATCTTTTGAAAGTACAAGATCAAATCCCCTTTAGGGTAAGGTGGGTTTCAATGGTATGTAAATAATTATTGCATCCATCATTGCATTAAAATAAAAAAAATCAAAATAAAATGAATAGAACATTACAAAATCAATAATCAGATAATTAGACAATGATACTTAGTATAGATAGTTTACACTATTCAGATAATTAGACATTGATATTCTTTTAAGTCCAGGTTTCAAGAAATAGATTTACTATCCCGAAATAGATCTAAATATAACAAGCAAACGAAAAATATTCTCTCAATCTCACAAGAAATTATAACTTATATGAAAAATGATATAATTTATCGTATATATTACTTTTATGAGACAGTGAGAGTACTGTAATATGAATGTAGTACATTCCCAACTCAATTTTATGGCCAACTAAACAGAACTTGTGAATGAGCAAAAACAATTCAGGAGATTAGTCAATTATTGTGAGGCTGGAGTGGTGGACAATCTCTCCCTATATATGACAAAATCATCCGCACAGCTTATCCACTTAAGGGAAGGTAATAAAAAATAAATAAAATTACGGGAGAAATCCAATTGCTAATGGCAATCGGATTTTCCAGGAATCTCTTGCAAATTAGGCAATTTTCGACCAAACCCGAGTGGGAAATGGACATAAATAGTTACTAGTATAAATACTCCAAAACGTAGTTCGACACAAATAATGTTTCAGTTTCAAGCTACTTGCTAGCAATTCTTTTTCTTAATTACAAAGGATAAATTATTTCATACCGAAAATCATCATCAATGGCCAGGATCACTCAGTTTGCTCCAGAGGTTCGTGTCTTCCGGTGGAACGCAAACTTGCCGACGAACGCCTCATGCGGCGGCGTAGTAGTCATACGCGCCACCACCACCTTCTTATTCCGTTCACAAATCTCCCCGAAAATTGAGCATCTCATCACCGCACCATATTCCACAACCAAACAACCACCCTTCTCAGATCTTAACAGCACAAAAAAATTGCTGATCGAGGTCATCCAACAAATCCCTTTTCTCCGTCCCTGCGAGAATATCAAAACGGTGGTCCACAAATTAGCTGAGGACCTATTTTGCAAATTCCGTTTCAGTCCTAAAATATCATCGTCCAACTCCAACAGGGGAAACCCGCCAAAACTGGTTGTTTTGCTGGATTTGGAAACCGTTGTGTCGACGGAAAATCCTAATTATGTGGATAAGCTTGATATGCATAGATCGATTTGGGAGAATGAGCAGTTAAGGAAAGCTCTGGAAGATGACGAGGGAATGATTCCGGTTGAAATCAAGGAGGTTGAAGATTTTTTGGAAGGCGTTGGCGGGAGGATTGAAGCTTTTGTACCAAAGGGATTGGATGAAGAAATCAAGCCCGCTGTGGAGATTAAAGTGTTTGCTGCTGATGATGATTCACAAGCGGAAGAAGTGTTGTGTTCCATATGTTTGGACAAACTCTCTGTTGGGGTGGTGGCTGAGACTAGTTGCTCCCACATGTTTCATAAGGCTTGTGTCTCCGAGTGGCTTGTCGGGACTAATTCTTCGTGTCCGATGTGTAGATCATCTTTCGGGATTACTGTCTAGGTTGTAGTATTTGTTGTTTAGTCTGGTTCCTTAATTCGATTAAATGTAACAAAGATTGTGGATGATGTTTAAAGGATTTTGTTGACTTTTTGGGAAAGTACAACTTGTTTTACACAAATTTCCTTTTGCTTCGAATGAAACTAGTGGAAATCAAGTAATGTGAAAAAACAATAGCTCGAATTAAAGTGAATTGCGATCAGTTCAGTTCTCTAATGTTTATTGTCACATTCCCGTATCCTTTGTCGCTTTTAATAAAAGATTGTTCGATTTATATAAAAGATTTTTGGATTTATAATATATACTAATGTTATTCTTTTCCTACAAATTAGGTTCTCTCCCGTGCGAATATATTAACATTCATTATTAAAATAATCATTAATTTTTGAAAAAATACCATACTCAATTAACGATTAATTATAAAATATAATTTAAAGATAACGGATTATACAAAGAATAAATGAACAGTAAAAAATAAAGTTAAAAAAGACGATGTAAAAATTAAGTGGTTATTATTAATTTCATTGAGCTTAAATGTAAAAAGAATATTTTACTTGAATTTTTCTCATAATTTTACCCGTGAAATTTTAAGTTTTTTCTTTTTTTAAAAAAAAAAGAAGTTGGCATTAGAATGATTCAATTTGAATGTAAAAAATATTTTTTGTTTGGATTTTTTTTCGTAATTTTACCCGTGAAGTTTCAACAATTTTTTTTAACTTTTTTTTTGAAAATAAAATGTTGAATTAGAATACAATACATAATTAATATTTCTCTATCTGACAATAGAATTATCTATTTTTTATAAACATTTATAACATGAATCTGGTTTTATGTATACGGTGTTAAAATTCTTTTTAAGCAATACGAAGTAGTTTTGACTTAAGGTTTTTGGAGGGAAAATTTTTAATCATAACGCGACACCTCAGCATTTTTCTTCTCTTGGACTTCTATCTTAATATGATATATATATATATATATATATATTGATTGATTTGGTTGGTGTCGTAGTGAATAATATTCCAAAGTGAGATATATATACTGACTCATAGTAGTTTTTGAGACGGAAGATTAGGGCTTAAATATGAGTGTAATATTCTTAAATTTGGAAGTATTTTATGAAATATGATGAGTACTCACAAAGAATTATAATATAGGATAGTCTTTTTCTTTTCTTTTTTTTTTTTGTTACAATAAGGTAGCCTTTTTAATTGTTGATTATGAAATTTTAATGTAGCGTCTTTTTTCTTTTTTGGTTACGGAGTATCAATCAAGATCAATGCACATTAATACCATGATTCCTAGTCTTTAATATATTTTATTTGGTCAAAGATGCCATTCAATAGCACAATTCAAAATGATAGGTAGGAATGATTTTGTATTTTATCTTTCAAAATGGAATGATATCAATTAGGTACATTAATTGCGTGATAATTTGATTCTAATCAATGAAACTTTCTTTCTTCTTCTTTTTTTCTTCATTTTTTATAAAACGACGTAGTTTTTGCTGGGCAGAAAAAAAATGCATGAGTGTGACACGCCATTTCTTTTTTTTTTTTTAGCTTAGAATATTGTTTTAATAGGATAATATATATTCCCTCTATTTTTCTTTATATGTCTTTCAAGAGAATTCATCAAAACCAAGACAACATTAATTCATGTAGTTAGAATACAAAAACACATTTATTAATTGTATATACAATTCATCACTAACCAATAAAAATTTATTATAAATATTGTTTCATTTCCAATGGAAAGGTAATTTTGGTAAAAAATGGAGGGAGTAAATAGTACTACGACCTTTAAAACGCACCTGACAAGTACTAGTAATAAATTAACGAGCCCCACATTAATCGATGCTAGCATTCACAATGTAACTGTTCTCTCGTTCTTTTACCAATTTTTAAAATGAGATCATAGAGCGTACACGTCAAAATACAAAAGTAACCATTCTTTGAAGGATAGAAAACACTCATCAAGAGTTGTGTTTCTTCGTCTGTAGTATCACAAATCTCTTTGTTTTATCATTACCCTCGTTTCATTGTTTCTCATAATATTGAGGTATCATTCAACATTGAAATTATCAAGAAAAGCCAAAGACATGTGTTGATTAAAATGACCACACAAATGAGTTGAGTTGAAATTTAATGGAGCTTAACTTTATCTCTTACATCTCAGTTAGTATAGATCGACTTACGATGATTTATATTTCAGAAGAAGAAAAAATAAACTCTCATTTTTATTTTCCCACTTGACAGATGTAATCGTATAATTTTATGTATTTATTCTCGGATATACTACACGGATTCATCTCTTTTTTTAATTCTTTTAAAAAAGGATTTAATATGATAATAAAAGAAAGAAAGAAATGTGAGAAAAGCCTAAAAAATAAAAAGTGAAATCTCTTGGGTCCAGAATCCGGATGAAGTCAAAGGTCAAAAGTCAAAACAAGAATTAGAGCACAGCTTAGCCGTTTCGCAAATTCTGACTTGAACTGAAGTCATGGACCAGCCACCAAACCCAACGCCTCCGCCGGCGGCGCCGCCTCCACCGGTCCACCAGACCGACGCCGACGAAGATGACGACACCGTCAAGCAGCTTCAAGAATGCTCATCGCTGTATTTGGCCTTACAGGTAATCTGAACTTCTAAATTTTTTGTTCCAAGTTGTGATTTTTAATAAAGAAGATCCATTTGCTTTTACTTAACTCCTAAACCCCATAAAAAATTCCAGGATTGTCTTGTCCAAACCAACAGAAACTGGAAATCTTGCCAGAAGGGTTCGTTTCCTTTCGTCGTATTTGCTATTTTGATCATTAGTCTCTCTCTTATTGAGGCCTTCTTTTAGTTTTCCTGCGACCCTTTAATTGTGATGGTACAGAGGTTTTATTTTTGCCTTCTTATTCAGAATTCAGGTTGCATGATGATTTTGGCATTTAAGTGATTGATTAATTGTAAAATGTGGTATAATTTCTGCAGAAGTTCAAGCTTTGAAGGCCTGTAATGACCGAAAAAGGAACAGCCAGAGGAATTGAAGGTGACCATGGTGATGATGCAGCTGGTTTGGTAGAGCTTTCATCTTTCAATTTCAGTTTTCTTTGAAACTTAAACATTTTCTACACACTTTATTGTCGTAGCAAGGAAGCTAATAGGAATGATGGAATAGAGGATTTTCAATTTGTATCCATCTCTTTCCCATGGATAACCATTTTGCCTCATCAATCTGTACTGTTCTGGGTGTATCAAATGGCGATTCAGTAGCTTAGAGTCATGCTTTCAAATGGAATAGAGCATTTTCAAACGTATGTTGATCTGTATCCCCTGGATGGCCTTCTTCCTTTTGTATAAGTTTGTAGTGTTTTTGATACATGAAATGGCATATCGTTTTCTCTCTAGCAAATTGGCATGCTAACCATGAAAGAATGACAATAATTAGGCCATCAAGTTAAGTTTTTGTTTCCTTAGAGCTTATGCAGAAACCATGCGAATACCTAACATTCTTCGTCTAGGTTTATCTCAAGCTAGATATTGGATGAGAAAAACTTAAGGAGGTGATGGAAAGTGTCAAACTATAACCTCGAGTTCTATAGGTTATGAATATGGGGACCAAAAAAGTCAGATCTTGAACAATTGAAACTAATGATAATAGTTCACGGCTGCATAATTTCATACATTAGGAAAAAGATCAATTCAGAATGAAAAACCAAACTAGGTTTTTATTGAGATTGCATTTCCTGTCATAAAAAGTACATGGCTACTCATCATAAGATGGAATGGAACTAGAAAGTACATGGTAACTAGTCCGTTTTTTAGATCAAGCAGGGATGAACTTGACAGAGACGCTGTTAACGCAATGACGCTCATCTGTTGGTGTTTGATAACCCTCCCCTTTGAAAACATGCCCCAAATGACCTCCACAAGCAGTGCATGTAATCTCAGTCCTCCTTCCATCTGGATCAGGCTGAAAAAGAAGAGGTTGAAATATTTCGTTAATTTGAGCTCTAAGCAGAAATATGTTCAGAGGTTGAATATGATTAACACAACAAGATATACTCACAGAACGAGTAATAGCCCCAGGAAATCCCTCAAAGAACGCAGGCCAACCACAGCCGGAGTCGAACTTTGCAGTGGATTTGTAAAGCGGCGTACCACAACTAGCACAATTGTAAACTCCATCTTTGAAAAACTTGTCATACTCTCCCGTTCCACGCAATCTACATAATGTAACCTAGCCTAATTAGATAAGAGTTGGCAAAAGTCCATAGCACTACCAGCTAAATTCATTAGTCCCAAGTTGAAAGAATCACAAGATTAGCTTCTGGTACAGCCAAAGAGGCTAAAAGGGTTGTCCCAAACCATTTAAAAACAGAAAAATGGCATTTAAATGACAGCAACAATGTAGATAAACACTCCAAATCCAACAGCCATATCAGAGTCTCAGATGTTCAAATATCTACAGGGGTCCAAATCAATATGAACATTCTCCTCAGGCACACCGAAAATTAACGTCAATTTTGACCAAGTTTTGGGCCATCAATTAAATTCCCGAATCAAATTCCATAAACAATTGAAAACAAAAATTTGGGGCAATCAATTAAAATGGAAAAAGATCAAACAGAAATCATATCTTAGGCATAACATAATGATCAAGAAAGTGAAATATATTTACTCTGTTCCTTTCTCCCTTAGGATGCGAAACTGTTCCGGGCTGAGAATGGCTCTCCATTCCTCCTCTGACTTCTGAACTGAGGTGGGTTCAGGCGTAGACGCCATGGTAAATGGGTTTATTCAAGGAATCTGGAACGGGAACCGGCCAAAGATTCAGAACTGGAATGGGTTTATTACGCTACTCAGATACTCTCAGTTTGCACAAGACGGAAGTCAATGTGACTCTTGAGGATTATTTATACTGCATTGAGGAGTATGGCTAGAGAAAAAGCCTGTGATGAACTTGGACGGAGAATTGGGCTTTAGGGACTTATGATTCTCTTGAACAATGGAAATTAATTCACATTTTGATTTTTTTCCCAAAAATAAATATACATCCAATCCTTCCTTAAATGGTCGTCCCTTGTCTATTCGAATAATCGGGTGCATTTCTGAGTTATGTATTCAAGAGGAATTGTAAGTGGTGTCAATCACATCATACTGTTATGTGTCAAGTTATCTCTGTAAATTCTGTTGTCGTGTGTTTTTGAATAAGGTGCAATTGCTATTAAAACCTATAGATTGCGTACCTCAATTATGGTGTGATCGACTCTATTTATAGGTATGAATTTACCTAGTAGATGTCCGAATCCTACCAAGTTTCATATTTGTAAACCGCCTTTGTGAGAGTCGGTTGGTCTGTATTTGGCGGATGGGTCGGTCTGATGATCCGTGATGGATATGGACTCATCACTTGTCAATCCTATATTATTTTTTTTTTTTGGTAAACGCACGTCCACTGCAATAGTCTGCAAACCACCCTAGGTAAGCCCGGGATAAAAGCTCGGGTGGTTTGAAATCAGGGGGTTCATTAGTGGATTAGCCATAATAAGTCCCTAGAGGTACCATCAGGCAATGTGGGAGTCAACTCCTCACTTTTTGTTGGAGTGGAGAATTGAATTCATGATCTTGTCTTGGAATAAGGGTAGTTTTACCACTAAACCAACTCCTCATTTGCCAATCCTATATTATTATCATCATTGAAAACCACACACTCTTCATAGCATTACTCTTGTCTCGGTACTTGATTTTTTTTTCTTTATCTTTGATTTTTTACAAAAGAAATAAGTTTACGTAACATTATGTATACAAAAATTATTGTTGAACGGATGAGGAGTGAATGAATAAAATATTTTTTTTCATTTAGAAAAAAAGGGATAATGCTTAAAATTGGTCATTATTCTTTAACTCTCATCCTCAAAATTTCTGGTGTATTTAAAGAAAAGTCTTGTTTATCTTACCATTCTAATTGAACAAATGCACACAACAAAATTTAGAACCAACAGTAAAAATTGGAAGTAGTTTAACAAATCGAGTAACAAAGAGGTCAGTTAAACAAAAATAAATTTACACATAAAACTCCCAACCGATTTCCTCTACAACGGCCAACACCGAGAACACCCAGAAATCCCGCACTAGTTGACAGATCAACATCAACTCAGTCTCACATAGTCACACACAAAACTACACTCAATTCCCCCATACCCTCGATTCTCACTTCAACTCATCATCTCCAAATTCCCCTTCCTTAGCTTACATTCTCTCCAACCTAAAAACCGCCATTGTTGCTTTTTCGAAGCTTCAAACACAAATCGAACCACAATTCAGTTTGACCATTAATCTCTCCGGCAGTTGGCAAGGGAGGTGCCTTTAGGGCCGTTTATTAGCAGGCCAAAAGAGGTAAGGACTCTAAAATTTTGATTGCCAAACTCTATTTTTTGAATTAATTGGAGGAGTAGGAGAATATTTATCTTGCCCTGTTGGATTCTTGAGTTGCATGGAATGTATAGATGTTAAAAAGACGAGACTGTATCCAGTATACCCGGGAGCATGTATTTCCCTCCTATTTTTTGCACATTTAGTCCTTATTGTATTTTTTTTTTCTCAACTCTTCCTATATTTTGTAAATTTAGTCCCTGTTACTTTTTTTCTCTCTCTTCTAAAAAAATATCTCTAATATTCATACGATCATATCTCTCAATCCGTGAATAATTAGAAAACGTGTAACACATGAATTTTATTGTATTCGTCGAGATCTATCTAACAAGATCCATGTCGAATATTTTTTCTGAGTTTAAAAATGATTAAATTCTGATGGACAGAAATAGGATGGATATTCATATTAAGAAGATGGAGAACCAACTTATTTTAAATTGGTTATCCATTATGTTCATGCTTATTATCCAACAGTTTGAACTGGTTATCCAACTTGTTTATACTAGATATCCACCCATTTGGTTTGTATGCCTATCAAACTTGTTTGTAATGGATATCCCACTTGTTTGTACTAGATATCCATTTCGTTTGTACTGGATATCCAACTCGCTTGTATTGGATATCCATCTATTTGGTTTATATGCTTATCCAACTTGTTTTGTAGTTGTAATCCAACGGGTTTGTATGCATATCCAACTTGTTTGTGCTGGATATCCAACTCGCTTGTACTGGATATCCATCCATTTGGTTTGTATGCCTATCCACCTTGTTTGTACTGGATATTCATCCATTTGGTTTGTATGTCTATCTAACTTGTTTGTACGCATTGGATATTTATCCAACTTGTTTGTAGTGGATATCCATCCATTTGGTTTGTATGCCTATCCAACTTGTTTGTAATTGATATTCCACTTGTTTGTACTGGATATCCAACTCGTTTGTACTTGATATCCATCCATTTGGTTTTTTCTTTTATGGTTTTTTCTTTTATTATTATTTTTTTGAAAAAAAGAAATGGTTGTCCAACGCGTTCGTATTGATTATCCAACTGTTCTGTATAGATTATCCGATTTTTTTTTTCTCTACTCTTTGCAAAAATTCTTGTCCAGTTTCTTTGTACTGACTATTTAACCGTTTTGTATGCCTTATCCAATTGTTTTCACTGATTATCCAAACATAATTTCTCTTCTTTTTTTTTCTTCTTTTGAAAAAAATCTGTCCCATATGTTCATACTGATTATCCATCCAACTTCTCGGTGATGGATGGTTATCCGACTTTTTTTTCGTTGCTTTTTTAATGAAAATGATTGTCCAATTTTTTTGTACTGGTTATCCAACCAGCTTGTATTACTTATCTAATTATTTTCAATGATTATCCAAATTGTTTGTAATGCTTATACAAATATTTTATTTTATTTTATTTTATTTTTTTTTGAAGATGAGTGAATGTAAAAAATATGATTGGATAGATAATCCATCCGACTTAAATTTCATATATAATTCGTATTATAATTCTTTACGGATCAAAAGATATAAGGAACACAACAATATGAATGTAAAATAAGTTGGTTATCGATCTTCTTAAATTGGATATCCAATGTGTTCATATTAATTATCCAACTTCTTTGTGGTGGTTATCAAGTATTTTTTTTCCTTGCTCTTTTATGAAAATGATTGTCAAACTTTTTTGTACTGATTATCCAACGGGTTGCACTGATTATCCAATTATTTTCTATTGATTATCCAAATTATTTGCAATGCTTATCCAATCATTTTTTCTTTCTTTCTTTTTTTTTTGAAGAGTGAATGTCAAAAATATGATTGGATAACAAGTACAAACAGAATGGATAATCAGTCCAAACCGGTTGAATAATCAGTAGGAACACAACGGATAACCATTTTTCAAAGAAAAACGAAAAACACATTTATTCATTTCTGTCCGTAAAATTTAAATGCATTTAAAGTTCAAAAAAAATATTCAACATGGATCTTATCGGATAGATTTTGTCGAGCATTATAAATTTCATGTATAATTCGTATTCTAATTCTTTACAGATCAAGAGATATATGCAATACAAGAATCTTAATATAAACTAAATTGGTTATCCATCTTTCTAAACTACATATCCATCTTATTCTGCCCATCGAAATTTAGTCATTTTTAAACTTGAAAAAAATATTCGACATGGATCTTGTTGGATAGATCTCGACGAGTACTATAATTTTCATGTATAACATGTTCTCTAATTTTTTACGGATCATGAGATATGGTCATTTAAAGATTAGAGATGTTTTTTAAAGGAGAGAGAAAAAAAAATCAAAGGGACTAAACCTGTAAATTATAGGATGTTATTTAGAAAAATAGAAAAAAATGTAATAAGGATTAGTAGTGTAAAAAATAGGAAGGGGAGTATGGTGCCGACGGGTATACTGGATAAATTGCCAAAAAGACTGTTGATGTCGAGGATTTTGGTTGGAGAATTTTATTTCTTTTCCGGTTTCTGATTCGAATTTTTGTGTGTGGTTTATGGAAAAACTTCCATTTTTAGTCTTTTCAAACAGCTAATGAGCCACAGGTGTGCGTTGAATTTGTTTTGACTTTGAATATGTGCTGGTTTGGTTTGCCAGTGATGTCAGCTATGAGTTCGTATATGGTATATCTGTCATTAGTTTGAGATGGTTTGTCATCTGTGACAATGTTGTCATCAAAGTCTTTCGTGTTTTCTTCACTCCAGCATTTAGCATAAAAGTTAATTTTTGGTAACTATGCATCATGTGAACAAATTATTATTGATTCATCATGCACACATTGTAAATTCTCCTGGATTCCTTGCTGCACATGCTGAGCTCTTTGGCTCTCAATTACTGTCAAAAGTTGTTTTGCATCAGTCCGCTGTGACGCAGAAGAGTAGAGTATAAGTTATAAATGCTAACTCGCTTGTTAATTCTGATCCAAACAGGGTTGTAGGAGACATGGACCAAAGTATTCAAAAACTTGTGTCCAGGGTGCAAGAATTGAAGCTTCAGCTGGAAGAACACACTGATCAGACCAAGCAGATAATTCCGGAGGCTGCATCTAGAAGCGGTGAAGATCAATCTGAGCTTGAGGCACTGCACCTCGATAGAGAAGTGCAGCAGTGACTCGAGCAACAGAAGCAAATATTAGAGCAAAACATTAGGAAGAGGCTCGCAGAAATGGAGACTGAATTGGCCGAAGAAAATTCTAAGGTAGAGATTGCTAAAGCTGCTCTACATAGGTTTGAAGAAGAGAATTTCGCTCTTAGGCAGGAGATGGTTGCTGCTGAAGCCCAATTAGCTGGGACATCAGCTACTTTAGAGGATGTATTTAGAAGGCAAAAGGAAAATCTGTTGAAGATTAAGTCACTGGAGAGACATGAGTCGATACCTGCAGAGGTACTTGCTCCTGAACAGTGCAAGTTTAATTATCGGAAAAAGGAAGTAGAGCTGGCTGAAGAACAAAAACATCAACGACAGGCAGGATCTCAACAAATGCAATATCTGATTAATATATTTGATTTTGTTTTCATTGTATATTGTTGTTTTCCGTATTTTACGCAGTTGACACGGGTCAATCATATGATGAGTTCGGCACAATCCATTCAGTATTTTAAAGTTGCTCTAGTAGAAAAAGCAGGTGCATTTTTAGTAGTTATCCGCCCTAATTAAACTGAATTAAATTCATTGGCTTCTCTAATTGGTCTTTTTTTTTAAGAGATATGTGACATTAAAAGTTGCATATTAGCTGTTGCTACATGTTTCCTCCCAATATGGTTGGTTGGTGTGTTTAAGAATGAAAATAAAGTTTCGAACTGTGGAGTTCCACCTTAAAGGAGGACCACAACATCTATTGTCTTAAGCTCTTGAAATTCTTCAGGGCCCAACAATCGATGCTAGTAGTTGGCTTTAGCATGGACATTTGGACCTTGTGCTTGTTACGTAGTTTTCATATAAGCGAGACAACCGTCATGGTTAATTCAGCCAGTTGTATTGCATATCGAGATTTATGGCACGTTTCATGCACTTTGTTTTTTGGCACGTTTCATGCGCTTCTGTTCTTGTACTTGGCTACAAATAGGGGCACAGCTCCCTGACCGAGTTATTCAGAACCATAGACTCATAGAGCAACTGAGCATACAAGAGAGTTTGTGAGTGAAGTCTTCTTTAGAGCTTTCCTAGCCTGGGTATACCTTACTACTTTCGTTACTATTCTTCAAGTCTATCCATGAAGGTGAGATTTTGACTTGTAAACAGGTATCATAAGCCACTTTATACTTGTCCACAATAGAATTTGGCGGTTTGCCGTGCTGAATATAAGGCCAATTAAAAATGGAATTGCATTCAAGTGATTTGATATAAGCATCGACTTTCTTTTCTTGGATTGTTTAATATTTTCACCTCATCTTAGAGCATTTGATGTTGCTGACTATCATTGAGCATCTATTATATGTTTATTGAACTACAAATTTATGTTTGAGATGTAATTGAGTCACTGTTTTTTTTAAAATGCTTTTCACAGTTTTTATTGCATTTCTCATTTGATCATTTGATTGCAGGCCAGGTTAAATTATCATGTGAAAGAAAAGAGTAAGATCTTGCTGGAAGTCACCCGTCTTAGGGATGAGAGAGAAGGCATTGAAGCTGGAGGAAATGTGGAGATGGCCCAGATGAATTTAAAGGCAGATAAGGAGATAAACGACAAGGAGGAGGAAATCGAAGAACTAAAGAAGCAGATTTCGGCACGTAGGCTGCAAATATATTTTTCAAAGACTGCTGAACTTCAAAGAGAGGCATATGCTACCTTGTTGCCACGGGAAAGAGAGTGCATAATGTGTCTCTCAAAGGAAACATATATTGTTTTCCTACCCTATGCGCACCAGGTGCTCTGCGCAGACTGCAATCATCTCTACGAGAGGCAATTTAAGGATTGCCCCTCGTGTAATACTTGAATCCAGCAGTGTACGCGAGTGCGCCATGTTCTTGCTTAATGCAATTGTCTCATTGTGTTTTTGTTTTTAACTCTGGGGGTTGTAATTTGTAAAGGATTGTTCTCTTTTGCACCATAAAATTAAGAACTGTTAGAACTTTTTTTTCCCCCAATGTACTAGCATTTTACAATAACTCAATGCACCATTTTAGAAACTAGCTCCAGCTGTTTATGTATATTATAGTGGCTCAACTTCTTTTTACCTAGTGTTTTCGAGTTTCTTACGGGTCATTGTAAATTATGAGCTATGATTGCTCTATGCATTTAGTAAAGTTGTGTTCTTCGTGGGGTTGGATCAGGGGCGGTTCAATGATACCATAAATATTTATATAAGTACCAAAAAATTTGCTTCGTATCTTCAGTCAAAATTAAGGGTATGTTTGTTTCGTTTTTTTAGAGTGTGTTTTTAGGTGTTTTTTGTATTGAGAATGTGAAATGGTGTATTGAAAATGTAAAAAGGTATGCTGGGATGGGACAGTTATTATTATTTAATTATGAAAAAACTAACTAAAAAAAAAGAAAACAAACAAAATTTTCAGATGTTATTCTATGGCACACAAACGTAAATAATATTTTGATTCACTTTTCCTTTATAGTTTCGTGAAAAACCTAACTGTCAATGTTTATTTTTTTTTCACGTAAAATTCACGTGAGTTGATTGAAGAATATTATGCGACTATCATAAAAATTTGATTCGATTTTTTCCTATCACTTGATTTGTTTGTGAATTTACAAAATTTAAATTTTACATAGACGCACAATAATGTTCGATCAATTCACGTGCATCTCACGTGCAAATAGCAGATTATTAATTTTTTTTTACTAAACCTAACACAAAAATAATTAAAATATTATTTAAGTTTGTGGTGTCATATAATAGTTTTGAGTAGCAAACAATTTTTTGGTATTTTTGGAATAATTTATTAAAAAATATATAATTTATAAACCTCTTTTATTCGGATAGATTTACAAATTTATAAAAAATATATAATTTATAAACCTCATTTGTTTGTGCATTTACAAAAATTTAAATTTTACACGGACACACAATAATGTTTGATCAATTCACGTGCATCCTACGTGCAAAGAGTTGACCATTAATTCTTTTCATGAAACCTAACACGAAATTAATTAAAATACTATTTAAATTTATGGTGTCATATAATAACATCTGAAATTTATAGTTTTGAGTAGCAAACAATTTTTTGGTAGCTTTGGAATAATTTATTAAAAATATATAATTTATAAACCTCATTTATTCGGATAGATTTGTAAGCATTGAGCTATCTTTTGGTAGTTGGATAGATTGTGAGAGATTGAGATTTGAAAATATTGAGCAGCTTTTCTTTTATGAACTGTAACTTATTTTTTTGTTTTAACTTTTTAAATAGGATAAAAATATTAATTTTTGAAAATTTTGAGGCCTTTCCAAAATGGTGCCTAAAAACCATTACTTCATTACCTCTATTGGAAAAAGTTATCATTTCAGAAAAATATTACATTACCTACAATATTTATAAAGTTTTCTAATTAAATACTGAACGAGTTAATTATTTCTTTACCCATCACAAATCCTTGTCATTTGGGTCACGTAAAAATGGAAATATGTATTCCAAGGTTTTATTGTAACATCCAATCACTCGTCACCACCATTTATTGTTTTGTTTTTCCACTTAATTGCTCGCAGGGAAAGTTAAAAAGGAGTAGTCACGTCTTAATTAATCACCAATTACATTTTTACTTTTTATTCAAAATGATCAATTACTTTCTTTTGTGGGAGTTAGGATGCTTTAGTTTCGAACTCTTCGTTGTTGCTACAACCTGAAGTAGAAGAGTGCACTAAGGTGTTAAACTAAAGACCGTACCATTAATAAATTATATATGTCCTTTTGGATTGACTCATCATTTTTTAATAGCCACGAGACATATGACCAGAAACACATGCAACTTTTGTAATGAAGTGACCTTATGAACTATTGTGGGAGTGTGTTTATGAGTTACCACTCATATCAGGACCAGTTGTTAATTTCATGGTTTTTTTCCCCATTACCACAAAGTGGAAATAAAGTCAGACAAGTAAATCTATCCCGATAAATAAAGAAAATTTAGAACATAAATCGTTAGGATATAGTATGCCTACATAATCCATGGTAAAGAGATAGATGACTGGCTGCTACATTTGAACCTCCAATTATTCAACTAGGTTAAAGATGTTGGCACTATTAAAAGAATAAAGCCATATAACCTACTATTGTAGCTCAACTCAGAGCTATTTTGCGCTAATGTACATCAAAGGATAACCAACTTACAGAAATTAATGAAGGCTCGCCCTTTGATACAAACTTGAGAGGGATACAAAGCTGAAAGCTAGCTCGTCATGCTTATGATGCGCATCCTCTCAGTCAGTGACAAGTTCCAAAATTGCTTTTGTAGATGGGATCCGCCGGTAATTAGAATTAAAATAGTGGTTAAAACATAACTTAGTTGAGGTCCTCTCATACTGTAGTATATATATGATTTTTTTATTATGAAAAGAGATCATGAGATTGCATGAATTGATTAGTATTTCGTTAAAACCAGTACTCTCTCCAATGAAAAAAAATCTATATTTCTATATTTTAATTCTATATTTTTAGTAGTTTGAACTTTGGCATCAATTGTGGAAGATCAAGTTCGACTCTTACTGATAACAAACTAGGTTCTTGTAATTAATTTATATCAGTTGGCTCAATCAATCCTCTTTATTTCCTTGATTAATTGGTGGTTTGGATAACTACATTTCTCTCTTCTCCTCCTTTGTCTTTTTCTATCGCTTTTCTTCCCCAACTTCCCTTTCGTGGGAAGATGGTGATATGAAAAGGAAGATGGGGAGATGATTTGTCTCTAGTTTTAGTTTTTCTTTAATCGAATAAATTTTATCTATTAACATATCTTTGATTTCTTAGACATGTATTATCTGTCAATAGATCAAGATATACAGGGTGCTTGTAATCTGTCAATAGATCTACATTCTATTAATCGTTATTTAGTTCTTTTGTAATACTTTGTGATCTTTAGTTCATAGTTTTGTCCATAATTATATTGTTATAGTTCATAGTCATGGTTTATGTTCGATAATTTGCAGTCAAAGTAGATCTATGTTTTAGATCTTCTTTTTTGGAGCCTTCATATGATGATAAGTGAAGTATCCAAGATCGGAAATTTTCGTTGGTACGTGATGCTTCCAACAAATATTTGCAGGTGTTACGGAAGAGTTAGTAATTTAGTCATCTGCAGTAAAGATGATCGGTTGATTCTTAGATATAGAATATTCTAATCGATTGTAATATATTTGTGATTGTAATCCTCTGTCCACCGTAATTGGACGTTTTCCAACAAAGTTAATGAAAGTTTCTTTTATCTCAAAAAAAAACTAGTTCTTGTAATTATGTCTCAAAAAAAACTCTCCTACAATTTGCTCTATGTTTTTTTTCTTTTTTTTATAAAAAAAATTATTTTAAAACAAGCCAATTAAAAAAGAGGATTTGTATATAAATTTCTATTGCATTGACGCTTGTGTCCTCCATGTTTAAACACCTGATTATGTACATCTTCTATACATCTAGGGATATATCGGTAATCTCAAAGTCATTTGGGGATGATTTAAAAGGCCCTTCTGTGCGCAAGCTCATATGAAACGACGAGTGACGAATGTGTTAGAGCGCGGAATTGTGGGTAAATTATCTGTGCTTTTTCATGGTAGAGAAGATGACTTGAAGATAGAAAGAATCATTTCCTGGGTCTTGCGAAGCTGAGCTGCTTGAGGATTTGAGAGCGGTAGAGTTCGAGGGAGCTAGCGATCTAGGGTTTTTTCGTAATTGAAATCGAGTTAATGAAGGTACTGAGCGTGGAATCAATTCATCGTCTTTGTTGTAGGTAAATTTCTAGGTTTTCGTAGAATCAATAGTTTTAATTTATTTTTGAGAAAAGAATTAGGAAAAGGGGTAAATGGTGAGTTTGATTCGGTGTATATTGACGATGTTGATGATGATTGTGTGCGAGAAAGAGGACTCTGTATTATTATTCTTGTGTGCAGGAGGAAGAGGAAGAGCCGAGAGTGAGCGATTCCATTTTCTAGAGAGTGAGCTTTGGTTTGAGATATTGAGAGCGAAAATAGAGAAATTCTTGAGGGTTCTGTGTCATTTTCCGTATCTTCTACAGCGCTTAATCTCCTTAATCCATCGTCTTCATAATGTCTGAGAGAAAGCTCGTCGTAAGTATCCTTTCACTTGAATTGTTTTCGTTTAGATAATGATTTTGGGCAAGCCCGCCAATGCTGATGTAATTTTGCTGGTGTTTAGGTGTTGGGAATCCCTTGGGATGTGGATACGGAAGGGTTGAGGGAATATATGAGCAAATTTGGGGATTTGGAGGATTGTATTGTTATGAAGGTGCGTCGCTTTATTTTCCTGTACTTTCGCGGGATATAGATTGCGAAGCTGCCATGCAGGTTCAACTTTTTCACTAATTCTTAATAGCCTAGCTTATTACATGTTCCTAATTGTTTGTTGGGTAAAGCTGGACTAGTCTCTTTCTGGGACTTCAAAAAAAAAGTTAATGTTGATATTCTCTGGCATTGTGTATTGGTTTGCATAAAGAACTTAATATATCTACTGAGGCATTGATCTTCATTAGCGAAGTATATGCTGAATTGAGCCTGCATCTGTAATTATTAGCTTAAATTTTTTCTTCGTACTTGTTTTCGTCATTATTTTTGTAGGGCTCATCTGGTTTGTGTTGTTGTTTTGTTGTTTCTGCTGTGTAACCAAAATAAGCAGCGTCCATGTATTTTCCTATCTTCAAAAGTATCATGATGCTTAGTCTTCTGTTTCTCTGAAACTTTAGGAAAGGTCTACTGGACGATCCCGTGGGTTTGGATATGTGACTTTTGCAGCCGCTGAGGATGCAAAGGTACTGTCCAGCTGGCGAATCTATCCTCTCTTATTCTCTTTCTGCACACATTTGGCTAGTTATTCATTTCTTCAGGTTCTATAGTATGCTACTGATTTTGTTTCAATTCTGTAAACCTGTGTGCAGTCTGTGCTTAAAACAGACCATATGCTTGGCAATAGAATGCTGGAAGTGAAAATTGCCACTCCAAAGGTTACTATTCAGTTCCTACTAGAATTTAACGTTACATGTTTTCTAATATTGCATACCTACTAAAATGTATAGTGTTCCAATGAAGGAGGAAATGAGATCATCGTCTCGGAAAGTGACCAGGATTTTCGTTGCAAGAATTCCACCATCTGTTTCGGAAGCAGCATTCAGAAGGTGACTATAAAAATTTCAATTCTCTTTATGGTTGATGTGTTTAACCTGTTTCTGAATTTGGAGATGTAATTCCTTGGTACTGAATCCTAACCTATTGTTTGTGTATTGTAGTTATTTTGAGCAATATGGTGAGATAACCGATCTTTACATGCCCAAGGTTCTCTACCTTTCCTTTCACACTCTCAGCTTTCCCTCTTTGTTACTTGTATAAAGACTCATGTTGAACTTTACATCCAATGTACTGGATAACAAGTTTGGTTTGATTTAGGAAGCTTTTGTACTGACAATATTTTATTGCAATTCCTCTGAAGGATCCAAGTACTAAATCACATCGTGGAATTGGGTTTGTCACCTTTGCGGATGCTGGTACGTTAATTTGAATCTCTAGAACTTGCTCTTCCAGTTGTTGTGAACCTTCAGAAGTCTCACTTCTCTTTTTAAATTAAACTTACTCGTTATTTCAGTTGTTGTGAACCTTTGGAAGTCTCACATACTTTTAAGTTATTGCGGCCAATTGGCTATCTTAGCATGAGGATTTTGTTTATTGTTTTACAGCTACCTCTTTAGTTCAGTATGATTCAACTTTTTGAACTAATTTTTTGCAGGATCTGTGGATGACCTCATGGCCGAGACCCACGAATTGGGGGGCTCTACGATTGTTGTTGATCGAGCCACTCCCAAGGTCATTTTCCGCTAGTCACAAATGTGATGTTATATAGCATATGAAATATGTTGTGTTTATACTAATATTACTCTATGGTCTCTTCTTTCATTCAGGAGGATGAATTCAGGCCGGTAAGCCGAATGCCGCCGCCGCCTCCGAGTGGTGGATATGGGGCATATAGTGCTTACATTAGTGCTGCAACCAGATACGCTGCGCTAGGGGCTCCCACTTTGTATGACCATCCAGGCTCCATGTATGGAAGTAAGTGATTTTGACTTTTGTCACTGCATGTTTGTCATTTTGACTTCCTCATTATGAAACGAATCGTGGAATGTGAAAATCCCCTTGATGTTTCCTTTTATCGCTCTCATTTTCTCCTTTATTCTTAGAGTTAATCAGGATATAGGTCATTGTCATTCAACCCAAGTGTGAACTTTGAGAGGACTGTTGTCTAGAAAAACAGACCATTCACGATAATTGACATGTATATATTATTTGAACTGTGCAGGAGGTGGCCCAGGTGCCCCCCCTCATCGTATGGGCAAAAAGATCTTTGTTGGGCGGCTTCCTCAAGAGGCCAGTGCCGAAGACCTCCGTCAATATTTTGGTAGATTTGGACGCATTCTTGATGTTTATGTTCCAAAGGTATGAAAAAGTCGGAGTTATTGGGTTTTAAAGATCAAGTAGCTTCTTATTCTACATGGTTTTATTTGGTGTAGGATCCAAAGAGGAGTGGTCATAGGGGGTTTGGTTTTGTCACATTTGCTGAAGATGGTGTTGCAGATCGTGTGTCAAGAAGACCCCACGAGATTTTCGGACAACAGGTCTGAGATGTCAGACTATTCTAGTCGATGTATTGAGGGAGTTAAAATTCACATACATTTTAGTAATTTACATTATGTGCTGGGTTTGCAGGTAGCAATCGATTCAGCCACTCCAGTTGACGATGCCGGTCCAAGTAATAGTTTCATAATGGACCATCATGAACCATATGCGGGCTATGGTGGTCCTATGCGTGCATATGGCAGGATGTATGGCAGTATGGATTATGATGATGTAAGTGAGATTCATGGTCGACAGCCTGATTTTTATTTTACGAGGAAAGATGAGCATTAAATTCTAATGTTTGTTTACCGCTCTGCAAGACTACAGGTCTCATTAAAATATATTGCATCTGATTCATGCATGCTACACTTGTGTTCTCTGTTTGTCTGGTTACACCATACTCTTTTGATGAGTGCTGATAGTTGTGAGGTTTTTGTTTTTTTGTTTTTCCAGTGGGGCTATGGAATGGGATCTGGAAGGCCATCAAGAGCTGATTTTAGGTACAGGCCTTATTAGTTGTTGAAGGATACAGTTGTGGCTACATGTCTACGCTTATCTTACGCTTATCTGACAAACACTGATGATGGGTTATTTGGTAGTAATGACAACTGTGATGAAATAAGTTTCTTATGTAAAACGAATTATGCAGTTCTAACTCTGAATGATGTTGTTTTTAGATATAAGTAGGATACTATAGATTCATGTGGACATTGACCTCATTTCGTGTTCACTTCCCAAGCGAAATAGATCACTGCGTGTTTGTCATGTTGACTTCTGTCTCAATCCACTTTATGATACAATTGTTGAAATTGGAAAGCACCTTTATAAGTCATATTCTAAATGCGAACTTTTGAGGACTTGACTTCAAACAACAGACCATACGAGAGCATTATGGTTCCTGATTCCACACAGCAGTTCTTCGAGATTCTATACACAAAATCAAGGAGCGATAATTGACTTATTAGCTTTTTTTAGCTTTTGACGTGGTCGGAACTAACTACGGTTGATACATTTTGAATTCTGGTAAAGAGAATGGTAGCTGCTATACCGGCTTCTAAGTCACTTAAGAATCACCAAAAATGCAAACACAAGCATTGACCCGATAGCATCAGAGACTGGGAGGCACAAATCTCCAATATTCGTTTGAACTGGGGACTCCAACAAGATGTCTGAAGAGTAGCGTTCAAGTGCAGCAAACGAAGCAGCCTCTCAGAGAATTTGTTTTCAAACACCTTCGAAAGATAAGTTTATGGGAAATGGTGGATGATGTGGTACGGGTTTGATTCTCTGAAATCGAGCTTCTCATGTCTTGTGCTTTGGTCTGCGCAGCTCTCAGCTTATTCAATATCTTATCCATCGATGCAGACCTTTTCTTTTCTAGTTTCATCTGAAATACCCCACCAAACCAAACTATTAGAGCTAGCCCAACATAGCATTTAACCAAGAACGAGCATATGTCAAATACATTGGGAGATTGATCAGAAATGTGGAGATTTGCTCTGGAAATTGAATTAAAAAGCAACATCAAAACACAACAAACAACAAAAAGATAATCAAACCTCAAGCTTTCGAATCGCTGCTTCAGCTTTCGCTTTCTGCAAGTTCTCCCAAGCAGCTATCTTGGCCTCTTCCCTTTGCAACCTGGAAATAAAACAAAGGAATGAAAATGTCAACTGCATCCAAGGCAAATCATTGTTTTACAGACATGATTTTCCAAGAGAGATAGGCATGTCAAGTGAATGCCAGCCAGTTAAAGAGAAATTACTTGGACGATGTCTTTGCAGCCCCTGAAATATCCCACTGTGCTACTAGATCATTAGAATCAGAAGACTTTTTCCTCATTTTCCTAGCTCCATGTTTCTTGGACTGCCTGGTTACAGTGGCACCTTTATCCACTTGCACATCTCGGACGACTTCAACTTTTTCAGAATGATAGCCGTGCTGCTCAGTTGTATTTGGGATTGGGAGAGGCAAAGCAGAGAATGACGACCTAGCTTTAGGAGATGAGTGAATGCTACTATCCGGGCTCATCTGAGTTGCCATATCTCTTCGTGACACTACTCGTGAAACACTGCCCTCCGCCTCTTGGTAGCTTTCAAGTTTGTCATCTGCATGTTTACATTAAAGGCCATGAATTTTAGAGTTTTTGCGTTTGAACAGGACAACATAAACTTTTCCTACGTGTTCAATCACAAGGCAATGTGAAAGAGAGCCACATCCAGAATCAGTTTAGGAACTAATTATAGAGCAAAGAAACAGATAAATGCTCCCTCAAAAAAAAAAAAAATTGCACTCATACAAATTGTCCATAATGGTCAATAGTTTCTGTGATCACACTGCTACAAACTTTGCAAACTTTTTATCTCTAAGAAGGATAATTCACAAGCGTTTCCAAAGTACCGTGTTTCTGACAAGAAGATGGTGCTCTAGTTCTTCATCTAACAATCATTTTGAAGTTACACAGTTTCTATTAAGGACCTAACTTCTCCTGGAAACGACATTGCCAAGTGTTGACAACAAATAGTAGAAATAGCGGACAAAGAAGTAAATGATAAATTGAGAGTTTGAGCTAGAAAACTCACCGAGAAAATCTGACAATCCAGGCAATGTACTAACATTAGCATTAGCATTTGCATTGGCAGCATAAACGGAGTTGTACGCATTACCACCATTCCCCGCTCCATAATGGACAGATAAAGCATCAGGCATCAACACACCAGTTGTTAACGGCGAACCCACCAGAAAATTCCTCCCACTTCCGCCTTCAAGAGCTGGAACCGTAGGCGAATAATTCGGCATATACATAACCCCTGTAGTTCCAAGAGGGCCACTCTTTGATTTAGGCCTTCTTTCAGGCGGTAAAGTTGAAGTCTTGTAGACCCCATATCCTGAAATAGGACTAGTAATCCACCGCTCAGCATCATCCCATTTCGAGGGCAAAGCTCTTCCACTGTTAAATGGCATCAAGGCAGCTGCACTGATGTGTCTTCTGCTACTGTTTGTCGGCAATGGAACTCGCTCTGAACTCCATCCTTTTGTCATTCCTCTGCCGTAATTATCCCCATAATCTGGTGTTCCAGGACTAGTGTATGCTCCAGAATTTCCAATTACACTTGAATTTCTCCTCATTCTTTTCAATTGAAACTCTGCATTGTTTCCTAAATGACAATGTTTCCTGCTGGCGACAGGTACTTTATTGTTAGGGGAAAAAAGGAATACTAAAATTTACCACAACAAAGAAAAAACAGATCCATTCAATTCAGCCCTTCTGGGCTGCTGTCATAAATGTTTGCCGAAATCCCTGTTTCCAAATACTGTAGTAAACAAGAAAGGGATTTCATTTTCACCCTAAACATTCACCACACAAGTGGATGTTTCCATCCATTGCATATCTCTGTGGGAATCGGAAGTACATTATTTTTTCTAAGTGGTGCCCAATTTCTGCAATTAGTATTCATTTAATCTAGATTTTGGACCACTTTAAAGTGTGAGCTCGTGATGTGCGGGAAACTGGCAGTGGTTGTCCCAAAAAACAAACCTTCCTCAATCGCTCTTTGTCAGGAAAAATTGACCAAACTTTTTAAGCCTCAGAATTTTTGAACTACCAAGAACACAGAGAACTTCTGCTCATTCAAATTTCCAGGACTAAACTTTAAAAGGACTCGGAAAAACATACAAACACGCAGAAAAGAAGATGATTAAGAGAATGTCAATTACATACAAAAAGTTAAAAGGCTGGAAAAAGTTAAGAAGGAATAAAATAAGAAAGTGTTGGGCACTTTAGCAGCAAAGTTACCTTTGAATCTTTGATGGGTCAGAAACAATACAAACTTGGGAAGCTGCCCAATGAACTTGCAGCAGCAGGGTGCTGTTTGTTAGTATTTACTTTCTAGTAGTGGCAAGTTTTTGTCTTTCAGCTCCAAAACTTGTCGATGGATGATGATTCTCCTGGTATATCTCTCTGCAAAATGAGAGAAGAAAAATCAGAATGGAGGGCTTTATTCAAAAAAAAACAAAGACACAGTCTTTAAGAGTATACTTTTGGATCGATAATCAACAAATTCAACATTATTTTAATGAAAAAAGAAGAAAGGTTCCAACTTCAGTCACCTAGGAAGAAGAGAGAATTTGGATGGGATGTTAAGGACTACTCCCAACAAATATAATAGCCAAATAATGAGAGAATTGATGAGGGTGGTGTAGCCCACAAATTAAGCACGAAGAAGAAGAATTATGTTTGACAAAATGTACCTTCTGACAAGTGTGAGGAAAATCGTCAGAATTTGGTCTTCCAAAATCAAATGTTAAGACCATTAAACAATTAGTTATTGGATTCTTTAGTCTAACATTAGATTATAGAGAATGAAGAAGCTAGAATACTGGTAGACTGGCAACAGTAGCGATATAGGGGGGTTAATAATTATCAGTTGTCCGTAGGATAGTATGAGCCAAAGTGTTTGAGTTGGCGCATGTTGTCTGGGAGTGGAGACTGGCGACCAAGGGCTTTACGGGCAGCCAGTCATGTGATGATGCCCATAAAGTAGAGAAATAGGTGGGAACAAGACTCAAAAATTTCCACTTCTTTATTTTTCCCCTCAAAATCATTATCTATATTAAAATTTTATTTTGATACGTATAATTTATAAAAGTAACAGAAATATCATATTAAGAACGGAGAGAATATATTACACTCATAGACCTAGACTACCGTTCTGAATAACTAGAATTATGTTCAATTTTCATTTCTTATAAGAACAAAAAGTTAATAATATATTACACATCTTATATTATATCTTACTCTAACATCATTTCATTCCTTCCTTAAACCAGGCGCCAATATTATGATAAAGACAGTGAAAAATCAATATATTTTAGTTATAATTAACAGTGAGTTTTATAGTAATACTATTTTGTTAGAATAGTGTAACACATGTAACAACATTGCTTCGTGCCATTCAGATTGGTTGTCCACTCTTTTGAACCCTACAGAGTGATGAAATCTTTCGGAAAATACATAAAGTGACATTGTCATTGTCTTATTTGGCCCCTTCTATTTTATTTGTTTTTTGAGCTTGGATCTACCTAAACATTGCTCCTTGCATTACTTTTTGTCGCAGATTTTGTATATATTATGTTTTAATTTTGATTAACATAATATTTATGTTGAAACACTACATAAAACGTGAACAAAATCCATATAAAGCCACGATTTCTCATTTGCCATATCTTCATTTTACACAGAAATGGTTTTGTAGTTTCTTAATCGGATAAAATTAGTGTGACCGGCCAAATGTAACTCAGAGTTACGGTTGTAGATCAACTGTAGTTATTCCACTGTATATGATTTCAAACATGTCGGCAAACTAGTTCAAAGTTCAAACTCCATTGAGTCATTGACCAAGTTGTTTGATTGTAGCTATAGCTTATTTTTTCTTCTTTTGAATACAAAGATCCATGAAATAATTTTAGGATGAATTCTTCCTATTTTCCTTCTCTCGATACATTGTTAAACACGTTCAATTTGAGACCTGCTTAAGAAAGAACAAATTTTTTATTACTTGACTTCAACAATTATTGTAGTTTAATTAGTTGAAGGTTTCTTTCAGAAGCGGCTTATAGGTCATATCATATATAAAAGCCCACACCAGTAATGAGTATTCAAAAGGTGGGCACTGCTTACATTCATTAACTTTGGAAATCCTAATGAATAAAATGGAGTTCAATTTTCAGATAACTCGTAAGATGGCAAAAGCAATACTTGCTTTAGTATCACAAGACGAAGTACCATTGCTAAGTTTATTAATGTGCATATTAGCCCAACCGAGTGCCACATGTTTTTATAAGGAAAGAGGATTAAAAACACTTAGGGCATGTTTGTTTTGTTTTTTTAGTGCGTGTTTTTAGATGTATATAAAAAAGTGTATTAGAAATGTAAAAATGTATGTTGAAATGGGACAATTATTATTATTTAATTCTGAAAAAATCAACTAAAAACGAAAACAAACAAAGCCTAAGACGGTATCAGGGAAAAAAAAAATGCTGAACAGTAATAGTAGCCTTCACCATGAGCGTTCACAAAGCCAAGGGAACCAGGGAAATTAATGCACCTCTGACGCTTCCAGATGAGCAAGGCGGTAATTCTTCTAGCAGGAATCATGACTTCTTCTAGTAAAATGAAATAATTTCATCCCCATCACGGTAGTACAATTAGCCATCTCTCCAGATAGTTGATGACAAAATTTCTCACTGTTAAAAGAGTTTGTGGTGGAGTGATTAGGACTCTTCCACCCTTAATTATAAATTGAGGATTCGAATCTCGCTATGGATATGGAAAAACTTTTAGGGAGTGCCTGATTCAACCGATGGAATAATAGTTTAGAATGAGAATCATAGACTTTGAGTGGGATTGATAGAATAAATATTATAATTTATGTTAAAACTTAATTTTAGATGATTAGTTTATGTGTATATAAAAATTGGTATTAAGACAAAATTTCAAAACTACCCTCACATCTAATGCACAGCGCCAAATTATTGTCCTTGTACCACCACCATTGTTGCCTAAGCCGCCTCAGTTTCTCACACCAACCACCCACCCTCACAACTCAAAAAAGTGGAGAAACGACCAAGTTGAAACCAAATTTCAGCACCTATCCAAATCTAAGGTAAGAAAATGGCACAAAAAATCAAGTTTAGATATCAAAGGACAACTAACAAAAAATGATCGATGCGTGTGTCACCACCACCTCAGTCACTGTTGAATAATCGAATTATAAAGAACGGCGGAAATAATTGCCGGGGAAAGGAGATTTTGGAGAAGGGGACGGAGGCTTCGAACTGACCGCCGGCGACAAGAATTTCCATGAAAGTTTTGGTTTGGATCTTGCAATCATTCCCAGATTGTTCTCACCAAATCGGCCTTGGTCATCTCGATTCTGCTGTTGATAATAGACAATATATTGTTACTTGTCCGCTTAGAGAGGTTGGGGATAGAGATCAAATTGGAGCTTGGAGAGCAGGGCGGAAATTTGGGTGTTCACTGTTGAGGCAAGAAAGACAAGAAGGGCAAAAAAAAGAAAGAAATGGAGTTCCACTTTTTAATTAGCATACCCATCATAAAGTTGGGGAAGGGATTGTTTGGAATCAATCCCAATTTGGTGGGCCCATAACATTCCAATGTTTTGAACCAGGTAGCTCTATCATTATCAATTAGATATCAAACCCAATCTTTTGGTTTGAAACTTACGAAACAAGCAGCTCCTTATAATTCTTTGGTCAGTTCTTTCACTTATAGGGTACCTACCATGAGTGATGGGGATTTGTTACTGTTATCGATGGTGAACATCTTGATAAAAAAAAAAAAGAATTCATTAATACCAAACTTTTCCAAAAAAATCAAAGAACCATATTGTCGACAGTGAACATCATGTGATATTAAAAAATAAATCAATAAATAAATAAATAAAAATCATCCATGCGAAACTTTCCCAAAAAATCAAAGGACCATGGGCTCTCTTCATGACAAGAGAAGATTATGGCCTTAGCTCTAGCCTTATAGTTTATAAACGTCATATTGGCTGCATCATGGCCGAATAATATATCTATACAAATCAAGCTACATAAAAAAAATGATATTAAAAGTTATAAATTGATAGTATATAAAATTACTTAAAACGTCTCATAGATGGAATTTTAAGCTACATATATAGCGTTAAACTTTTACTGGCAACTCTTCTAATGTTGCGAGAAATGGAGTATCCTTCATCCCTCACTCCCTCTGTGCTCACACGAATGCGTTTCACATTTAAAATATTTTCTAGCAACAGAATTTGATTTTTTTGGCTACATGACGCATTTTTTTCCGAATTATTCATCTAATGAATTCGGATTCGACTTTTAAGTGTATAGATCATTGCATTTGAGTATTTAAATCCATATTTTAAATTTCGATATATTTATTTGACTAAAATGGTTTATAACCTTAATTCCACTCCACGCGGTAAAAATATATTGGTCAATCAACTACACCAATTTTTAAGGGTATGAATCTATCTATATTATTTAATTAAAGTAGCATACAATCTGTTAATGTGTCAGCATTACAATGAAAATATTCCCGTCAAAAGTCA